CCCCCCCCCCCCCCAACGAGGCAAAAAATAACGACCTCAAGAACTGAAGCACCTATTGATCGCTGAGAACGCACTATTTATACAACGTAACGAAATAAAAATTTTATACGTCAAGAAAAATAAGTAAAAATCAGAGGAGAAGCGACTAAAATCGAATCGAATTAGAGCGCCTTACAAGCTGGGCTGACACAGACGTCTAGGAGGCGAACTATTGCTATAAAAACCACCACATTTGTTTTTCCTTGTTTTACAATCAGTTTAATAAGTAACTTATTTGTACATGCTTCTTTATAAAAATATAATCTCAAATATTAAGCTAATATTACAACGGCGCATGATCGCCGCCCATATTAATCTGCTTTGAGTCCCGTGAGACAGAAATTCTTACGGTGTTTTAGGTGTACAAGACTGTCTTGGTTTCTAAAATCACTGAGATGCTACTAGGGCCATGATTGGTCAAACACCTATCGTTTATTGCTTGTAATCCAAAGAAAATTGAAACTTGTCTCGTGTATTTCATAAAAGCAATAGACCGTACTTACTATTGTTTTATTGGCGTAATGTTAGGAGAACACTAAAAAAGTTTGTACACCACGTGCCCTTGGCGTGTACGAATTACAAACATTTCTCATGTTCTGTCAGCATCCCACGAGGGGATTGAAAGTGCGGTCTATTGCTTAAATAGCAATAAAACGAACATCTGAGACTTTGAGTAAAAGCACCAGTGTGGGAATTGGATTAGAATTTGTGTATAACTTCCATTTGTGATGATTTCTCTTCTAATACATGTAACTAGTGAAGTATAAATCGCGACAAAAACTGAAAAACAAAGCAAAAAACCCTACGAAAATATTCTAATTCTCTACAGCTGTATTCGGTGGAGGTTCCTCGCCTATTGAGTCAATCTTTTCCTCGCCTACGGAATCCATTGTTTCCTCATTTTCCTTGTCGATTGATTGAATTTTAGTCCTGTGTGTATGTCTACATAAAGCGTCCATAACATCATCCGTGCGATCTTCTGAATCATCGTTGTTCTCACTTTTTGCCATAACGTCTCGGAGTAATTCCTCGTCATTATATTTTGGGTTAGGAAACTCTCTTTTTAGTCTTTCACGTTCCTGATTTTATAAAAACAAAGTTTCATGGAAAACTCAGAAACTGAAATTACCACTTTCTATCTAAAGTTTCCCTTTCGACAAGGGAAGTTGTGAGCACGGAGTGAGGCGTGCAATCCAGAAGTCCTTGGTTTCCGAGTTCCTTCACCTCATCCCCCCGATCAAGCGCTGCGTTTAAATCTTCTTCTTCGAGTAACTAAAGCAACTAGCTCAGGAAAGGAAAAAACATTGGATCACGGTGATCTCTCAGGAAGCAACACTGGACAATTAGTGCTAGTGGAATAGAAGCGACGAACATAAAAGTCGGTTTTGTGAAACTGTACTGAGTCAAACATAAAGCTTACCATGAACTAAATTTGGCTTTTTAAGTTTATCTTACATGAAATACAATACAGGCATCATGTCTAAATGAAAATGCATGTCTCTCACAAGTTTTTTAGTACCTGAGGTGCATGTAAGTTGTAGAAATCTTGTAGTTGTCTTTTAAATCCGTAATTTGGGTTAGCTATAGGTCTTGCACATTTAATTGCTTTAAGAGCCTCTCTCCAATCGAGCTGAGTTACTGCCATGATATACGCTGCTACAAGTGTTGTTGAGCGAGACACTCCCGCCATGCTTGAGGAAAAAGAACAGCAACAACAGAAAAGGAATGCTCATTAAAATCACTAGAAACAAAATTCAAGTGAACATGCCACATGTCTGAAGAACATATAGCTTCAGTTTACAACTATAAGCAACTTGGATAGGACAACTCTTTTGTACAGTCGAACCTTCAATTCGATTCGATACCGGACTATTCAAAATATCAAATTTTCAACGGCCCCCATCTTACCTGGGCAACTTTTTCTAATCCCGGCAAAGATAGTATCCTTGGTAGCCTTTGTTTACAATTGAATCAGAAAATGCGCGCCACTCTCTCAACCAATCAAATATAAAACTCACCATTCGTTTCATAGTCACCTGCGTTTTCTCGCGCTTCAGGCAGTTTGATGGTGTTTTTTAATTTGAGGTCTCACTTGCTCCTTGTAAAATTTTCCTTTCTCTGATTGGCCGTTGTGATTACGGGAACTTTGATAATAATTTTACGACACTCGCTCGAAAGGCGCTCTCAAGATCGAACATTACTCAAACTCATTCACTAACTTACCTCACTCGCTTTGTTTAGTTAACACTTTTCTTAAGAAAAAAACAGTTTTGGTTTCTTTATCATAAATATGTCATCACTTATTTCGATTTTGAAAGATAAATTTATGTGCTCCGAAAAGCATGTTAATAATAAAAAAACCATTAAAATCTTATCAACAAAAAAAAAGCTTTAAAATTACATCCATATCTTTTTCAGTCCTCCAAGTTGCCATTGTCGAAATGGCAACTGTTCATTTCAACTTCACACGGCAATTTGCTTTATAAATTGTTTAAGTTGCATTTTCATTAAAGGAGAAGTCAGAACTGTAGAAATCATCAGTTGCCTACCAATGAACTAAGCATGCTCCACCGTTTAACCTGAAATAAAAGGAAATAAACTTGCTTAGCAAATAAAGGCAACTAACAGTGTAGCTAACAGACTAAAATGTACGTTAATTTTAAAATGTACTTTTAATTTTTGTGTTGTTTTGTTTTGCTTCAGAATTATGCATGATAATTTATCTGAATCAAGGGAAAAGAATTATAAAACTGGTTTAAAATCAGTTTAACCCAATTTCATTTCAATTCAGGGACAAAACATCCGCTAACTAGCTAATAAGTAAAGATGACGAAGGATATGGATCTTTCTATGAGGATCATTTACCTGCAGTTGTGAATAAAATCAATGCTCTCCTTGAAGTAAACTGATCTGAAAATTTGCAAAAAAGATTTCTCAATTGTTGCTATTCCAAACACTGAAAGAGCAACCCTCATCTATAGCTGGACTCCATAAAAAATCAAACAAACCAAAGTGTGGAAAGCTTTTATAACATAAAGATTTACCCAAGCTTGGAATGGAATTTGCTGTGTTTTTCTTTTCAGATTGCAGCAATATATTTAAGTCTTCAAAAAGATTAGGCTTGATGCAATTGTATCATTGAATTAGCCTAACTTTAGTTAGTTCTACAGCAACATATGTACTCAAAGTCAATATTTACCCACATATTATTACAAACATTCAGATCACATACATCTGTACAATTATCTCTGCAATTAAACTACAACTATTTTAATAAAAATAATGACAACAATAATCATAAAAGTTAAAATTTCCTTGCTATAAAATAACTCCTCTTCTCCACTAATTCACATGCCAAGTTGTTATCAGACAGTTTGTTATCTGACAGTTCACTAAGCCAATCACATTCAAAGTTGTAGTTTAAATCAACCAATCATATTCAATTAATTTTGATTGTAGTCAATTTCAAAGTGATATTAAACAATTTGTTACCTCCTTTGTCAGTCTTTTAATGCAAATATTTTGGCTATTCCTCTTTTCTTGGAAATTGTAATTTTCAAGATTAATTTGTAAAAAGACTTCATGTCTTCCAATTCAATCTGTAATCATATTCACGATAAGCAAATTACACTCCTACTGCGCAGTTGTCCGATCTTGTTATCACTCATACAATTACAGACAGAATTGGACTCCAATCAGTCCTATTACCATTATTAAAAACTTTTTCCACGATTGATTGCTTAAAAATATTTTTTTCTTATAATTACTGGATTACATAACCTACATTTCTTGATCAGGAGAATCAGCTGCATGAAAACACTTGTAAATTAGATTCTGAAAAGGTGAAAATTGCCCCAGTTAAGAACTCTTTACTCCATTATAGGTCTCGATTTATTCAACCTACACAAATCTAAAAACTCTAAGACTCTTTTATGTGGCAATTATAATTTTGAAACTGAAAAATTTAGTATATAGCCAGTGAAGTAATAAAATTGTTCCAGAGGTTCTTTAGAAGGTTATTAAAAGTTAACATAACCCCTTGTCATTTATTTTGTTCAAGTTAGGAAAATATACATGAAGGCTTTTTTTTTTCAGGTTATGTTATTTGATTCAATTGTAAATGAAATCACACTATTACATAATACCAGTCAAGTCTTGTATGATTTACTCAAAACAAATCATGGCTCATGAGCCCTAATCTCTTTGAAAAGCTGAAAACACACGAGTCAGTAAAAATTAATGCACATTTTTAAAATTAACAGTAAATTACCTCATTCAGTGCCTGTGCATTATCATGAATGGACACAACATGTGTTATTCCATACTTTGTTAACTGTTCCTTGTCCTTGGCATCTTAAAGAAAAAGTCATTATATGGCCAGTTTTCAAATAGTCAATTGTTTGCACACAGAGTTTGAGGGTTTAATGAAAGAGAATCTGCTGCCATTTTGATGTCATTTGCAAATAATGAGACTTTTTGGATAAAAACAATAAGCTCTGTCTGTAGCATCTTCATTGCAAATTGGGTGGCAGGGGATGTTTAAAAACCCCACACAGTTTACACCAAGAGTAAGGTATAGAGCTCCAAGTATTGTGGTCTGGCCTTATTCTACTGGTAAGTTCTTCATATAAGATAGGATTGATCACATTGCATTATGCCCCAAAGAAAAAATAACCAATAATCATACCATGATCACATCCAACCTCCTTATTGTCAGTGGGAAAGGGAAGGTGGAGGGAGGGAAGGGATGGCACATGCCAGGTAAAAGGTTGAATTGTCAAGCAGTGCGATACAGATCTTATGAAACTACTCAAGGTTTCTCCATGTAATACATGTAACTATAATATATTAAAAAATATCAAGTAAATATAAAATGAAAGAAATAAAATTTAAAACACTATTTTGAAGGTAAACTTTGAACAGCCATTAGAGATAATTTCTCACTTTTCTTTTAAAAATAAGAATGCTTTTTGAATAATATTGTTAGGTTACAAGGACATGCATGCTGCAAGGTACATCAACAAAAACTGAGCATACCTGAATTTATATCCAAAATTTACATCAAACCTTAAATTGCTTAGTATTCAAAATACTTTTGTAAAGTGATTAATCATTTAGAATAAATCAAGTCAAACCTCTGATGTTGCCGAGATAAAGCCCAGGAAGGACCTGTTTAAGATAAAATAAAGTGATCACAAACATGAGTCTTTGGTTAAGACACTTCAAATTCAAAAGGAGAACTATGCAAGTAGCCATGATATTTTTACAGAGCCAGTATCATGCCAGTGTAATGCATGTAGTCCCTACTTTTTGAGCCCCTCACTGATAGAGCTCCTACAGTGCATCGACATCAACTGCACAGGGCTACTGCAGGATGCCAGGTGCTGATTGGTAAATTTGAAACGGCTTGCATGCTATGAATTCCTCTTGTCACTGAGTTTGGCACTAATCATATTCAGAAAGCTGTATTCATGATTTCAGCATTGATTTTCTAAAAAAATTTCGAGCTTTGAAGCTCAAATTTGGGGAAGGGATAGAGCAACACCTCAACGATCAACGGCAGTCACAGTTAGGAAGGATTTTCAACAGTTTGGTCTTAATTCCAGTTTGAAGTGGAGGATGTTGTGGCCTACAGCTGCCAAGTCACGAGCTCTTTCTCCCTTTCTTCTCTTAACGGCCTCCAGCCATAGGTAATTTCACCCATGAAGGCGAAAAAATAACACAAATGAGTTGATTAACATTTCATGTAGCTTTATTGAGATATTCAGACCGAGATGTACAGGCGAACCTGTATTTAGCGGGCGGGGTGACCGCTTGAAACAGGTTGACCACTAACACGTTCCACAGATTAGGGGTATTAAAAGAGACGATACACAAGACCTCTTTATACCATAACTGACCACTAAATGTACAGAATCTCACTCAAAATACTACTTACTTAGATTTTGGAAGAGAAACATAAATTATGTTTGCCTTAATTTGAGCGCAAAAAACCATGTTCCCGTCTTTGAATAACAAGCATACTAAGAATTTTAACCTGCATTTAACACAAACCCTTTTTACAACTGTTGGCTTCCCAATCAATAAGAGAAAATAACACAGATCTTTGCTGCGATCGACAGCTTTTTAGAATAAATTCTGCAATCCACACTAGCGGTACAGACGATGTCAAAGTTGGAAATATTGTCGAAAAACGCAAGAATATTACAAAAGAGAAACGAAGAGGAGATTTCATACCTTGTTCATTCCATTCCCCATGTTTTGACGTTAAAGTGAGGCCGGAGCAGCAAATCGGCTTTTTATGAAAAAAACAACTTTGAGTTTTCATGTAGGGATGTCCATTTCCGCCATTAGATGTGTTGACGCCAGTCCCTCGCTCGTGTCCTGTGTTAAAAACAATTGTTGCGCCTGACAGAAACTTGCATAAACGCCACTCGTTCGAATCCATGATCCTTAATCAAATACTAAGTTATTTTAAATGGCGAACACAATGCAATTGGAATTTCGTTTTCGAATTCAGCGCAGTAAAAATAGCGTTAAAAAGTTTATTTCCAATCGTCTTTATTCCTTCATACATACAAATCTCATATTCCTTTTTAAATTATTATTTTCTCTTATTCTTGGGGGAAAGCAGAATTAGAATTGTCTTCAAGTCCTCTCTGTCTCGTTTTCATACTATACAAAAAAGGGACTAGCACTAATAGAATAAGAAAGATAGGAATTTCGATTTCGTCTCAGTCCATAAAAACGCAAAAAAGAACCCGGCCAATATCCATCCATCCATCTTCCCTCAGACCTCACGCTCGGTCAATAACGCTGTGTACTGCACGATTCACCGGATAGAGATTTATCCAGTGGATAATGTTATCCACCCTTTGAACAGCCGGTCACTAAATGGTATAAGCTTCTTTCCTCAGGACAGGATCTGTAGAGAGATGAAATGAAAAATTCGTTCAAGAAATAAGTTTTCATGAGATGAAGTAGCCGGATAACCATTCATCTCCACTTTAGAGTACTCCTCGTCTTTACCTGTTGTTACGGGGGTTCGTACAGTGATATCGAGAACTCCATCTAACATTGATTCCATGATGGACCGGAACGCAAAACTGAAGCTAACGCAGAAAACATTCTGTTTTCCTCAGCTCAAATTGATGGGGCAAACTTCGTTGGATTTAACAAAAAAGATCCACACTTTGTGTTTGAGAACGTTTTCTTGACAAACTCGAAACTGTCTCTGTTTCAATAAATAAGTACATATTTATCGTACGTTAAATCAATAAGTAAGTACATATTTATCGGGGTAAGTTTCTAAAGAAACTGTGGTGCTGCGTCGGTGGGAGAGTATAGCAGGTAATTTAGTGTAAACAACTGGGTTGAAAACGTAAATTAGCCACCGTAAAGGGTAAAAAAGCTGACGTTTCGAGCGTTAGCCCTTCGTCTATCGCTCTGACGAAGGGTTAACGCTCGAAACGTCAGCTTTTTTACCCTTTACGGTGGCTAATTTACGTTTTCAACCCAGTTGTTTACACTAAATTACCTACATATTTATCGTATGGCCCGTAGGGCGCTCGCGTGAGCGGGAAACTGATTATATCGCTGTTTGTGACGTAGATGATTAAACAACTGACAATTTACACTCGAACGAGAAAAGGAAAGTTAAGTTTTTAGATGGCAAAACATCAACTTTTACTTCTTTTTGCCTCTTTAACGTACTCTTTGAGTGTTTCCGGCTCGAACTACGCAAAGATCGGAGGGATATTCTGCAACGAAGAAAACTCTAAAGAACTATTAGCTTTTAATCTTGGAGTGGAGTATGTCAACAACGATACGACATTGCTTCCGAGCACTGTTCTCGTTCCTTTGGTGAATCAAACTGATTGGAGTAACAGTTTTTCCAATGTGGATGCAACTTATTGGCAGATTCAGAGTGGTGCGGTTGCAATTGTCGGACCAATCACTTCGTCTACAATTAAAGTCACCCAGCCACTATGCACTGGTTTTCACATCCCGCAATTAGCTCCCTACGCAACGGATCCTATATTCGACTTCTCTCCCCACTCGTACGGATATCTATTACGCATGAGTAGCAGTGATGCAATTGAAAATCGTGCTATGGTCGACTTTGTGTCACATTTCAAGTGGACAAACCTAGCAGTGTTAACATCCCGGAGTGATTTTGGACTTAACGGTTTAGTTATGTTCAAAGACATTGCCTCTCACAAGGGATGGACCTTTCTAGCCGTGGAAAGTTTCCAAGAGTTTAGTAACGCGTCAAAGGTAAACGCGACGAAACAACTTCTGCACATAAGAAGTCGAGGTGCTAGGATCGTTTTGGTAAACTGCATCGCCAGCAACGTTCGCACAATTCTAAAACAAGCCAGTGATCTTGGAATGATTGATGGATGGGTGTGGCTTGTCACAAATGGAGCATTTGCCCTTGATGGACTTTATGACAATGGGCAACCCATACCGAGGTATCTTCAAGGTATTGTAGGCATCAGGAATTCGTTCGGGGGAAGCAAAGAATACGAAAAGTTTAAAAGCATGTGGGAAGGAAAAGGATACGAAAAAGCACCTCTTGAAAGAGATTCGACTGTGGGACATGTCTTTGACTCAGTCTTGGTTTTGGCAAAGGCAATTCACAACATGGTCGAAGACGGTCACAATGTAACAAGCACAAAGGGCTTGAAGTTTGGTGCAGACAAAGGCGAGGGATCCTCATTCAGTGAAATTGGAGCCACTCTTTTAGATTACATCACAAAGGTCAATACTTCTGGTGTCATAGATCGCAAGCTCTTTGGCACTAACCGCTCTCCATCCGAAGCAAGATTTGACATCGTCAACATGCGCTCGTATGGTTTTGAGACAGTTGCTCGATGGGACTCAATTAATGGGCTGGTAATGGACACAAAAAAGGAGATAATATGGTCGTCTGGGAAAACGATCGCTCCTGTGGACACCTCCGTATCTTTGGAAAATCGGACCATAACAGTTGTCACCATTGAAGAAAAACCTTTTATCGTGCGAAGGTCGTCCACATACACAGGAAAACCCCAATTACAAGGTTATTGCATGGAACTACTGGAAGAACTAAAAAAAATTTTAAAATTTTCGTACGAAATATACCTGGTGCCAGACAATAGCTACGGTTCACAGGACCCAATCTCTAAAGAATGGAATGGAATGGTTAAGGAGCTGATCGAGGGAAGAGCTGATATGGCTGTGGCTGCGTTTACAGTTAGCTCAGAAAGACAAAAAGTCATCGATTTTACCCAGCCTTTTATTGATCTAGGACTGACGGCCCTTGTTAAAACTGTCATTGACAAAGTTGAGTATTATACGTTTTTCAAACCTTTTCATCTTCATTTGTGGTTGGTGATACTCGCTGCCACATTGACAATTGGCTTTCTAATTTGGCTTTTTAGTACTGTTAGTCCCTATGGATTTTATGGTAGATGCCTTAACGTAGCCAATCGTAAAATACCAAAGGAGTACGAGAAGCAAAAACACAATCTTTGCCTAACTAATGCATTATGGACATCTGCAATGTACTATGTCGGCAAAACCTCTGACAGTTTGCACCCAGTTTCGGCTTCTGGAAGGACCGTTGTCACAGTTTGGTGGTTTGCAATTGGGATCCTTCTCTCGGCGTATACAGCAAATCTAGCCGCGTTTCTCACTTTAAAAAGGTTTAGTTCTCCAATAAGCAGCATGGAAGACCTTGCAGGCCAGGAATCTATTTCGTATGGTACCGTTAGTAACAGCCAGCCACAGGCGTTCTTTGAGTCATCTCCTATTCCCGTATTCGTGACTATGTGGCAGTATATGAAGTACCATCATACCCTCGTCGCCAGCAGTGATGAAGGAATAAGTAGGGTGAAGAGAGGTAATTTCGCCTTCATTTGGGACTCTATCGTCTTGGAGCATTCAGTGCACTCTGCTGAGCCTTGTGGGTCTCTAACAACCATCGGTAAGCTGTTTGGCAAGATTGGTTACGGTATTGGCCTGCCTAAGGGCTCTAAATACACAAAGCAGTTAAGCCAAGTAATCTTACAACTGCGCCAGGATGGCTTCATGGACAACCTTGAACAAAAGTGGTTGCATACTCATGAGGACTGCTTCACAGCTCAGGAATACCTTAGCAGTGATAGCGGCATACAATTGGGATTGAATGACATGGCGGGAGTCTTCATAATTCTTGGCGCTGGTGTTCTAGTAAGTCTTATTGTGCTTGTCTTTGAGTGGGTTTTGGCATCGCACTTGACAAAAAACGAAAATGATCCGAACGCACCTCACACGCTGTGGGAGGCACTAAAGACGCGAAGGCGCAGCACAATGGAAGACTTTAGACTTCGAGATGATCTCCCTAGAATTTCATGGTCTATTGGTAGCCAAATGAGGACCAGAATGAGTCAAATCGAAACATTTATCGCGGGATTTTCCGCAGGGCGTGGCAGAGGAAAAGGAAAAGTGAGTCCGGAAAAAGATTTCTTGGAGGTTAGGTCGGTAGAGGACAAATCTGAAAGTGTAGAAAGCTGCAATGAAAGTATTATAATCCAAGAAGTGTAATAAATAGTTGACTTCCAGCCAGAAAGACTTGCTGTTAGAGGATTGGAAGAATATAACTATTTTTTATTAAAATTTAATATTGACTCACATTTTGGACACTTCTCATGTTTGAATGTATATACCAAGATCCGTGCATGAGTATGTCCTTTGATTTATACGTTTGATTTTCTATCAATTTCAAGTTTTTTCTTCCAAAGGATTTGAACTATTGTGGATGCCCTTTGCAGCATATGCTTATACTGGGAAAGCTTCCTTTTTTTTTTTTTTTTTTTACTGATCAGCGAGAAGATAAGATGTAGGAGAACCAGCAAATAGCCAGACAATTGAAAGTAATTAGTGATCAACATTTATTTTTTCTCGCAACTTCTCATACACCAACTAGTAAATAAGTGATTAAATTACACCAACTCAGTATCGTCTGAAGCGTATTATTTTTATCTAACGCATAACTCTGTTAACTAACGACAGTAGAGCTGCTAAAAAGGAGAATTTCGGTTCATATCAAATGGGATTTAATAGCCTTGGTTACTTATTACAAGCCAATTTAGAAAAAAATACTATTAAAATCTCATTATGTTCAACTATACATGAAACCGCGCTTGCCTTAGAAAACTCATTTTTTTTTAAAGCGTGCTTAGAAATAACAATTTTCTTGACCACCTAGGAGAGAAATTATAACCGGTTTAAAAAAAAAATTAAGTGCCATCTTGCGAGATTTTATTGCAGACAAATTTATTCTATCTCAGGGGTTCACAGCTGCTTGAAACTAACCAGTTTCAATTTCCGTTGAGGTTTTTAAGGTAGCAACGAAGCAGCGAAATAGCGAAGCCGTAGAGTTCTGGAAAGGCTGTCGCCATCGTTCGAAGTGGCTTTTCTATAGCAGCTGCGATAACTGATATGAGTTTTATTCTAATATACCTTTGACGCCATAGAGATTAAATACAGGAAAGTAATCACTGTTTTTTTTTTTGCAGCAGTGCATGAGATAAGCTGTCACAAACAAAAGATTAGTTATATAAGGTGGCGACTCGATGACGCTTTAACATTTTCTTCAGTTGAGGGAGAAAAACTATTGGTAGAGAACCTCTGAATGGTATTTTAAGTTAGGAAAGAGTTATTAGATGATGCTGAGCCAAAGTTATTATCGGAAACATTAAACTGCTGAGTCGATTGGATAATTACTGTGGCCACGTCAACTGATGGAATAAACAAAGAAAAACGGAACTGCTTCAGGCCAACTACTGAAATACAAACCTTGCGCTGATGGAATCGCTAGTTCTCCAAACAAAATAATGCGAGTGTCCAACGAGATGAAGTGTCAATCCCACACGCAATATCTATCTTACTTCGACAATGTGGTTCATTGCAGCTGATTTATTGACACAGAAATTGTCTAAATAGGAGACCTCGTTAAATGTGATTGGTCTTTCGCATGACAAGGTGATGAATCAAGGACTTCTTTTTTTAAGTGTACGTCGAATGGCGCAGCTGGAGAGATAAGGTAGCCTCCAAGTGACACTTTCCGCCTTGAAGAGACATAATGCTCAGCCTGAACATAATGGACGACGGCGAAAATGGAAATACAATCATAACGTGTATTATCTTTTAAGACTATTTTGCGAATGATCTCTGTATAATCCAATTCTGAAACTGCGACAAAGGCTTTGAGAATGGCAAGCTCTAAGCAGAATAATAACCCTAGGGCAAGCAAACGGATAGACTACAGTTCAAATCCGTGTTATTTTGCCGCTATATTTGATCGTTTTTACAATATGAGATCTAATATGGAACTTTGCGATGTGACATTGAAAGTAGGCAATGTAACGTTTGCCGCTCACCGCTTGATTCTCGCTGGCAACTCGCCGTACATACGAAATATCTTTGCTTCGGAAAATTCTGGAACACTTCAACAAGAAATTGCTTTGCCAAGCATTTTTCGAGAAGACACCGTGAGATTGATTTTAGATTATTTCTACTCTGGCAACTTGGTAATTAACACAGACAACTGCGAAGAGCTTCTTTCACTGGCTTCCCTCTTACAGGTTTGACATGATTTTGTTTAAATAAATTGAACTTTAAATTTCAACCATCATTTTTCGTTGGACACAATATGATTTACACAAGAAAATTTTCTTTTTACAGTGAGAAAGATTTTCAACTTAAGCCTGATAACTTAGCATATTACATTTGTAACATGAACGAGCAACTATCAGCCGGACAAAATGACTTTATTAGCAGTGTGATGTGAAATGTTTTCTCCCGTCTCTGAAAGAGCAACATTTCTTGCGTATGTAATATTTGCTTCAGGATGAATGTACTGTTGCTCATTTTCTTGAAATTTCGTATCTGATTTTTTCCGGCGGAATTCGACGTCGGCGTATTCCAACTGATGTGAATTTGTGAATCGGATCCTGTTGAAGTGTGTCATAACTTTTGGTCAGCATAATATTGAAAAAGTAATTTCGTTCCGTTGAGGCGACAATATGAGCAGTATTGTCGGCTGCCTCGTTCGAATTTTCATATTATAATCGTAATTAAGCCTGATGTAATTCGATAACTAATAAAACTTTGTAACGAATTTTGATTGCAAAACTGAAATGAAAGAGTTCATTTCCGAGTTGCTCTCTTAGGAAACATTGACCACGAAAAAGGGAGATAAACACATGATTTACGTTAGAAACGTTTGTAATCTCCAGGTGTTGATTTTATCAGTAACATGAAAGAATAGTTTCCATTAGTAACCGAGACACAGAGGGAAAAATTTAACCAGAGACAAATTCAAATTAACCATGATTTGCTCCTTTTTGACGCAATTACAGTTCCTTTCAACAATTTTCCTGCCTTTCCAAATAGTTCATTCAAAAAGCGCAGGTGAAGAAGAAAAACCAAGGGCAACAAATTTTATGGACATGTGTCAAATGCTGTCCGCCGGTCTTGTGCTCAGATCTCATGACTCGCTGCTTATTTCTGTAAAAGGCAAAGGAATCTTGAACGAAAATATTCTGTGGTGTAGGAAATATGTTTCGTTCTCTAACTCGAAAATTAATTGACAAAAAAGCGCTCTTAATGCGGGAAAAAATCATTGCGAAGTTGGGACAAGCTCGAATATAACCTACTCCTCTAAGCCGAAACATGTTGATTTTCTCTCGATAAGCTGAAAAACAATGATTTTTTGGCATTTTTCTAACCGCGATTTAAAGTTTCCGTTATTCGAAACGGGTCTTCATGGTCTTGTCCACATGCGTAGGCGTGTCTATCGAGTGGCGTGAAAACCAAAACCAGAGTTATCACACCGTTCAATCAAAACAAAGCTAAAGATTCCGAGTGGCCAATGAGAAATCGGATTGAAATGCAGGTGAACGGTACAAACGTGGGAAAAGGATAGTAGGCAAATAACTGGAGTAAGTTTCTAAAGAAACTGTGGTGCTGCGTCGGTGGGAGAGTATAACAGGGTAATTTAAAGTTATTAACTGAGTTGAAAACGTAAATTAGCCACCGTAAAAAGTTTAAAGGCTGAAGTTTTGATCGTTGGCCAGGTGTCAGAGCCATTGCTCTAACGAAGGGCCAGCGCTCGATACGTCAGCCTTTAAACTCTTTACGGTGGCCAATTTATGTTTTCAACTCAGCTGATAACACTAAATTACCCTAATCAAATAGCTGTTGATTAGGAAAGTTTCGCGGTGTTTTTTTTTTTTTACCAATCACAGAACTTAAGAATCAGTGAGAATAGGCTGGATCCTTCCGAACTAGTTTTGGAACTTCGTGATGGGTCTTGCTCACCATAGAGTCTCTGTCACTCAGTGGTAGAGCATAGGAGCTCGGAATCCGAAGGTTTGAGTTTCGATTCCTCATAGGAACTCAGAATTTTTTCTTTATCCATGCTCGTGCTAAGACGAATATTATCTTTCTCTAGTTTTGGCATCTATATGAATTTTTTTCTCTCGACAACTTGGCCCATTATTCAAATAAGAAAAACATTTCCTGAACTAAAACCTAGTGTTTTAATCTCAGTTCATTTTTTCACCTGGATATCTTTACCTTTCTCCTGCTTGGGTGCCCTGGTTTGCTTTGGTTATGATCCTTGATCCTAAAGGTAATTTAGTAAAAAGCAGTCACTAAGCCCTGGCCGTATTTAAAATCGCTCACTAAACTTCCAACTTACTCTGCATTATCTTTTAGCTGAATTTCCTGCAACCTATTCATAGAGCCAATTCCCATTAAGATTAAAATGTCATATTTATTTCTTGTAGATACAAGAAATTGTTGAAGAGCTCCAGGAATTTGTCATTTCAAACCTTCAAGCATCCAACTGTCTGCGGTTTCAAAGCTTAGCCCATAAACTTAAACTTACAAATTTCAAAGCTAAAATTGACCGTTTTGTTGACTGGAACTTCAAGAGCCTACTTAAAGAGCCTGACTTTTTGGCAATGTCCGCTGAGCACCTAGTCGAAGTAATTGGAAGCGAAAATATACGAGTTAAACGCGAGGAGACTGTGTACGAGGCAGTTTATAGGTGGTTCAGACAGGACCCAAATGGAAGGTAAGCTGTTTTATAAACAAATAGAAATAGCGGTGGGTCGGCGCATATTTAGGAACGTATTGTACAAAGTTGAAGTGGGGGACACGTCAGTGGATCATGACAAATAGTCTTGGAACAACTAGCGCTTCTGAAAGCGAAGCAATGGCTTTCACCGCTGGACACTGACATATAAAGACGACTTATATAATTAAGAGCTAAGAAATGAAAAATTAAAAAAAATTCTTATGCAAGTTTGCAAAAGTCACACTACGATGAAATTTACCTGATCCCCCCCAGAGGCCTCTGTAACATTCTTACGATTTCCCTTCATTGGCCAATTAATCGGCGGTCATTTTTAAACAGAACCCTCCCTATACTCTGTTGGAAACGACCAATCCCGCCTCCGTTCTCCCTGAAAACCATGTGTTCCCCTCCTAAAAGATCCTTCGCACCCCACCCCCCTACCCCTGGTCCCATGGAA